CTGTTGAGTTACGTGGAGGACTGTATGTGGTAAAAGGTGAAGGAATGATGATCAAGACACATCAGAACATGTCATCAACTGCTGTTTTTAGAAATAAATGTAATAGATCACAAAATAAAATTCCAGAAGATGCATCTTTATTGTGGCATCTGCGATTAGGCCATGTTTCAAAGAGAATTTCTCAATCCATGTCCCTTCAATTTCCATTTGTACCTTCTTCTCATATTAAACCCTGTGATGTCTGCCATATGGCCAAGCAAAGAAAATTGTCTTTTCCTTTAAGTGAAAATAAAAGCAGTATGATGTTTGAGCTACTACATGCTGATATATGGGGTCCCTATTCTACCACTTCCATCAATGGTCATAGATATTTTTTGACATTGGTGGACGATTATTCAAGAATCACGTGGATTTTTTTGATGAAATGCAAATCTGAAACACAAAAACAGCTTCAAGCTTTTATCCAATTTGTACAAAACCATTTCAAAGTGAATGTCAAGACCTTGAGAACAGATAACGACCCAAAATTCTTCATGACAGAATTTTATTCTTTGAGAGGAATAGTCCACCAACGCAGCTGTGTAGAAACCCCTGAACAAAATGGTAGAGTTGAAAGAAAGCATCAATATATAATGAATGTGGCACGTGCTCTTTCATTCCAATCTCATCTCCCAAATACCTTATTGCCATATGCTGTTGTTCATGCAGTACACCTGATTAACAGATTATGTACCCCCACCCTCAACAACACCTCTCCTTATACAATGCTATCTGGCCAACCACCATCCCTTTCACACCTTCGAGTATTTGGATGCTTAACATATGCATCAACACTTACAGCCAACAGGAATAAATTTTCACCAAGAGCACAAAAATCTGCACTATTGGGCCATCGTGAAGCTACCAAAGGTTATTTACTCTACGACTTAACCTCCAATGAGATTTTTGTTTCTCGTCATGTTATCTTTCATGAAACTCACTTTCCTCTGGCCTCCACATATCATCCATACTCAAATGACCCACAAACATCCATTCCTTCTCAACAACCCATATTAGATCACAACCAAACCATCGACTACACAAATGATCTATTACCATTCAACTACCAAACCTTACATCCAGTTACTTTGCCCAATGAAATACCCACCCAAGACCAACCTGATCATCATATACATAATCCTCCACACAGTACTAGCAATTATCAAGTTCCAGAACATGCTCCTCGATGATCATCACGCTTAGGTTCAACTCATACATATCTCACTGATTACCACTGCAGTCTATCTACTGCTCACAGTCCTCAATCACGTCCAGTTATACTTGATAGTTCTTATGTTAATCACCCTCTTTCAACTGTTGTATCTTATTCCTCATGCACCCCATCCTACAAATTTTTTTGTCCACACACAGAACCACGTTCTTTCTCCCAAGCTGTTAAATCACATGAATGGAAGCTTGCCATGGATGCTGAACTAAATGCATTAGCCAGAAATGACACCTGGACTATTGTTGATCTTTCACAAAACAAGACTCCAATCAGATACAAATGGATTTATAAGATAAAATACCGTTCTAATGGCCAAATTGAAAGGTACAAAGCCAGACTTGTGGCCAAAGGCTTTACCCAACAAGAAGGAGTTGACTTCTTCGACACATTCTCTCCGGTAGCAAAACTTACCTCCATCAGAGTTCTCCTTGCTATGGCAGCTGCTAAGGGATGGATTCTTGAACAGCTTGATGTAGATAATGATTTTCTTCACGGTGATTTGACTAAAGAAGTTTACATGGCTATACCTCAAGGTTTACAAGTCTCCAAGCCAAATCAAGCATGTCGTTTAAACAAGTCCCTATATGGACTGAAACAAGTAAGTCGACAATGGTACAACAAGCTATCGGTTGCTCTTATTTCCCTCGGTTATGTGCAAGGCCAAGCAGATCACTCTATGTTTACGCGACAAACATAGTCTTCATTTATTGTTCTTCTCATATATGTGGATGACGTTGTCCTATCAGGAAACTCTCCATCTGAAATTGCTCGAGTTAAGGCATTTCAACATGATAAGTTTTGAATAAAGGACCTTGGTCCCCTTCGTTACTTCCTTGGACTTGAAGTGTCACAAACTTCTCATGGTGTTCACCTTAATTAGCGCAAATATGCACTCGAGATTCTTTCTGATATGGGTATGCTGGCTGCTAAACCTAGTAATACCCCAATGGAAGCTTCTTCACATCTCAGTTGCACCAATAGAACTCAGATGTCAGACTCTTCATCTTATCGTTGTTTAGTGGGTAGATTGTAGTACTTAACCACTACTCGACCCGATTTGAGCTTTGTTGTTCAGCAACTCAGTCAATTTGTGTCATGTCCTTTGGACGTTCATTATCAAGCTTCTCTTCGTGTTCTTCGATACATCAAGAGTTCCCCTGCATCTGGTCTTTTCTTTTCTTCCAACACTGACATTCATGTCAAAGCTTTTGCAGACTCAGATTGGGCTTGCTGCCCAGATACTCGTCGGTCTGTATCTGGTCTTTTCATCTTCTTTGGATCATCTCTAGTTGCATGGAGATCCGAGAAGCAGTCCACTGTATCTCGGTCATCATCTGTAGCGGAGTACAGAGCCATTGCCATGCTCACTTGCAAAATCCAGTGGCTTTAACATCTGTTTCAAGATCTTCTTCTTCCCTGGCACAAGCCTGCATCAGTCTTCTGTGACAATAAATCAGCTATTTACCTTGCACATAACCCTGTGTTCCATGATCGCCCCAAACACATCGAAATCGATTGCCATGTTACACGTGAAAAACTCCAAACTGGTCTCATTCGACTGCTTCCTGTCACCTCTTCTGACCAGTTAGCTGATACATTCACGAAAGCTCTTCCTCCCACTGCATTTTGGTCTGCTGTCACCAAGTTGGGCCTTGTCAACTTTAACGGTCCAACTTGTCGGGGGGGGGGTTAATACAGCCCATAAAACTCAATGAGCCCAATGAGAATATGCACAGCCCAAGTTCAACCTCAACTGCTTCACAAACTCATGCAGTAGCTAACTCTACGTCAGATAGTAGTTGTATATGGCCAACTAATCATAACAAAATTAAAGAAAGTTGTTAGAGTAGTTTTCTGTTGATAACTGAATTAGTTATTCTTATTAGTTAGATGGAGTTAGATATATATAGAGAGAGATGGACACTTTGTATCTAGACACTTGTAATTTTCTCTGATCAAGAAACATAAGTATTTCATGAATTCTTTGAGCATCAACACATCATTTCGTATGAGACTAGTCTTGTCTGCATCTCGTGCTCAAATTGCATAATCATTAAACACTTTCTTATAGCTTGTCCAGGAATTGTAAGATCGTATTATTGAAAGGGTTATGTTGTGCAGAATTCTCAATGAGGGGTTCTTGACTTCTTCTGTCTTTCTTATAAGAACTGAGGCTTTGTTTCAATGCCTCTTTTGAGGAGAAAGCCTTTTGCCTTGGATGAGCCACCTAAGGATTTGAAGCCAACTGAGACTTTTTATCAAATTCGATTTACAAAAGAAATATTTCGAGATTATCGGTATTCTTTGTCATTCATCCTTTTTTTGTGTTATTTTTTTGTTTCTTTTTATTTTTAATTTTCTAGATTTATTTCTGGAAATAAAGAGCATACAGTGATTTCAAATGGGAAGTGGTTAAACATTATTATTAGTTTATGGGATATAACATTTTCAACTATCTTGAAAATTCACGAATGATACTAGTCTTTAGCATTCCATTCTTGACAAGGATACTGCTTATTGTTTCTTAGCATGACTTAGTGAATATTTGAACCGAGTAAATCTATACCTTGAGAGGGTTTGGATGTGCAAAGTCAATGGAAAAACTTGCTTGACTTATAAAGAGGCTCTTGTGTTAGAAAATCGTGCAACTGAAAAAGCTCAACATTTTTCTAAAAAATTAATGGCACCTGGTCTAAGGATTATATAAAAAATGTACGGATTATAAAAAAAGAAGAAACGTGACTAGTTCCGAACCAAAATGGTGTGGGATCGGTGGGTCCCGTATGCTTGTGATGTGGGACTGCCTAGCTAATAGCCAGTTGCGTCCGGATTAGGTATGAAATTAGTCCCATATGATCGAAGTGCGACTTTGTCTGCATTGATGTGATAATACTTTTTGACAACGCATTAATCAAACTTATATTATTATTATTGAGAAGCATGTCTCATTCGTCAATAGCTGCAAAAGTGTACACAGTTGACTTAACTTTTTTCAAGATTAAGCTCTCAAATGGGAGTATATTTACCGTGCTCAAGGAGCACATGCTCCTTCTATTCAAAATGGGATACTTAGGATTAAAAATTAACTTTTTTCTCTTCTCCATACACACCTTACACTCTTTGCTTAGTTTTAATTGGTCCATCCTAATAAATAAATGGTGCTCCTAAAGCACCTTAATAATTTCCCTCAAATGGAACAAATTGAGTACTAACATAAAATTTGTGATTATAAAAGAGAAAAATTAAAAAATTCATGAGGGCTATACAGGAAGGCCCGGAAGGGAACGAGAGAAGACTACCAAGTGGCGTAAACCCAAATTTGATTAAGACAATCTGAGATGGGCTTGGACTTGCACTGGTTGATTCTTGGGCCATAAAGAGGCCCAAGACATGCGGTTCATGAGAACTGGAAAGGGGTTAATAAAGTACAAAAAGAAGATGTAAGAGTAATGGATACCAACCGAATAGACTAAGATACCAACCGAATAAACCAAGGAAAAGAGAGGGAAAAAGAGTGAGAGAGAGAAATAGAATAAGATACCAACCGAATATTAAGCGAAGGACCATTCAATGCATCTTAAAGACTTACACGTGGAAGTTTGTTTAACTCGTCTTCATTTCAAACTCCCACCTGTCTGGGATATATATTTGTTTATTTTATTACTAGAAATTAGAAAAATAGTATGAAGCAGCGCGGTGAGGGATTTTGAAGATCCACATCTGAAGACTCCTGTCCCTAACAAGAAAAAACGACTGAAGAAACGGCCATAGTTGGCTGCTGAGAAACCGCGTCCATGTCTCTATATCTCTGTCTTTCTGTCTCCGTTCATTCATTTGTGAAATAGAAGAAGAAGATTAAAATGAAGATGAAGACGATGAAGGCAGAGACGATGACGCTGGTGCTGGTGAACCTGGCTGGGATCATGGAGAGAGCTGACGAGTCACTTCTTCCGGGTGTGTACAAAGAAGTTGGTGCAGCCCTTCACACTGACCCAACGGGTCTTGGTTCCTTAACTCTCTTCCGATCTATCGTTCAGTCCTCTTGCTATCCCATAGCCGCATACCTTGCCGTGCGTCACAACCGAGCCCACGTCATAGCCCTCGGTGCTTTTCTCTGGGCCGCCGCCACTTTCCTTGTTGCATTCTCCTCCACTTTCTTTCAGGTCTTACTCTTTTTCCCTTCTTTTATTTCCAACTACATCATATCCATACTAATCAAACCAGTCCAGTTTGTAGATCAGGCTGATGTGATTGCAACGTCTATAATTAAATTTAATATGCATTGATGGGTTCCCCTTTCGGTATAGCTAGAATTTCTAATTAGGTGACAAGCGAAAGCATGTGCTGATTTGGGTTTAGGGTTTAAAAAAAATTGACCGTTACTGCTCATTTATGGCTTAATGGTGTGTACTTATTGATTAATGTGGTTTAATGTGGTTGATGAGTGAATGGAATGGCAAAGAAATGTGTGCACCAGCTTTCAAATATGTTTTTGCTTGCTTAGACGAACCCAAATAATGTAAAATGTGAAACTTCACCTTCGTTCCTTGTCTATCTTTTTGTGCACACTTAGAGGTATGATGATAGTTTCTCTAAATTGTGAAAACCCTAAATGGCCGTTGGGTTTGGGATTCTTGGGAATCATGAAGTAGACTGAGATATTTTTAACACATGTTTTGTTACTTGAGTCTTGCCCATGAAATCCATGGATGGGAGTTTGTCTAGACTTTAAGACCTCAAACTTCTGATAAAAGCAATAAGACATGGAATCCTTGTATTTTTTTGGGATTGAAACTTCTAACACAAGGGTTCATCGTATTTAGATAGTTGTTTTCTTTTATGGCTGACTCGCTATACCTGATGCCAACTCTCCTCCTTTATCTTGGCTTGGGACAAGCCATGCATGCATACTTGTTAAATTTCTTTTTATTATATTTTTAATGTTCTTTTTGTTCTTTTTTTGTTTTCTTCCTCTTAATCTTTTCTTGCTTGACATTTGGGTTCATTTGCCAACGACCTCAACTAGTTTGGGATAAAGTGATTGTTGATGTTGATAGAAACTTCTAACAAGTATTCTTATTAGCTACCATAATCCTAAATAATTGATAACTGTCTGATGGCTCTGCTTGTGAGAAAATAAGTAAAACTAGGAGGGTGGAGACTGGAGATAAAAGGATAGATATTGAAGATGGGAATAAAAGAAAGGTGAAGGTGGGTGAAGATGAAAGGAAAGTTCATCTACCTTTTTTCCTCCCCTATACTCCCTGTTTCTCTCCTTCTGAGCATAGCCTCAATCCATTTATAATGTTACATGATAAGAAGAGCAGAAAAGATTAGGCTTTATTTAATTACACAGAAGTGTGCTTCAGAAATATATTAAGAAATTAGTATTCAAGACTACTCTAATTTACAAAAACATATTTTCAAATGTTGGCATTTTTCCTTTGGGACTAGGCAGCAGGCACATTTATGAAGTTCATAAAGTAGCGGTAATGTAACTGCTACGCTATTGTAGATACACACCTGATTGTATTCATTTTGAACTTTGAAGTCATTGTATTATAGGTAGCTGTATCGAGAGCATTAAATGGGATTGGCCTTGCACTAGTTGCACCTGCAATCCAGTCCCTTGTTGCCGACTCAACTGATGATAGCAATCGTGGCATGGCTTTTGGATGGCTTCAACTAACAGGCAATCTTGGTGCAATTATTGGTGGCCTCTTCTCAGTGTTGATAGCTCCAGTAACAGTCATTGGTATCCCTGGTTGGAGAATTTCCTTTCATATTGTTGGATTAATAAGCATTATAGTAGGTACTTTGGTGTACCTCTTTGCGAACGACCCACACTTCTCAGATAATAATAAAAATGATAGCAGTCAAGCTCCAAATAAACCATTTTGGTCAGAAGTGAAAGATCTGGTTCAGCAAGCAAAGTCAGTTTCCAAAATTTCGTCTTTCCAGATTATTGTGGCACAGGGTGTCACTGGTTCCTTTCCCTGGTCAGCTTTGTCATTTGCACCAATGTGGTTAGAGCTTACTGGCTTCTCACATGAGAAAACTGCTTTCCTCATAGCTTTGTTTGTGATTGCTAGTTCTGTTGGGGGTTTGTTTGGAGGTAAGATGGGGGATATCCTCTCCAGGCATCTTCCAAATTCTGGGAGGATATTTATAGCACAGATAAGCTCTGGGTCAGCAATCCCTCTAGCAGCAATTCTTTTGCTGGGTTTACCAAAGGATCCATCCACAGTAATACCTCACGGTTTACTTTTATTCATTATGGGGCTCTTTATATCTTGGAATGCTCCAGCTGCAAATAAGTAAGTATTTTGAACCAACCATTTTTCTTTCTGTTTGCTAAATCATTTTTTCCAATTAATAATCATTATTTGGTACTGTATTTGCCACAAACATTCTGGAAATATCTTTCACGCCTTCCAACTTTGGATAAGATCATTATTTGAGCTTATATGTTATTCAATATTTCAATTTATGTTATGAGTATCTTAGAATATCTAGAGGATATCTCATACTGTTATGATTATATTTTAGAAAAGTTTAGAGTGTATTTAATGATCTCTTAGGAATATTTTCCGTATTTTTTTATCTCTTATGATTTTAGGATTAGGAATTTCATATTAGTATAAATAGAGCTTAGTGATGTGGGCTAGCCTAGAGCAGTAGTATAACACCTGTAAGTAACCACTATAAGTCCTCCCCGAGACTTGTGTCACCTGACCTTGGAATGGGGCAACCTCATTGCTAAATTTTCTTGCACCCAAAAACAAAAAAAGTTAAAGTTAGAGTAAACTGAATTGTAGCAATGTAAATAGGTATCTTCAATTAGCTCTCAACAGACAATATTATTTTAACCTTTTCAAATTTGTTTTTCAATTCAGTATTCAGTTTATGAATTATTACTAAATTGTTTGGTTTTTTCACATTTTCAGAAATAGTTTTTGTTTACTCTGTGAGCTCATGGCTGAAATAGAGTGGGAAACATAGGATGTTTATTGCTTTTGTTGTGATTCAGAACTGAAAGAAGACAGCTCTTTGTGATTGTAGTAAAACTTGTTAAAGTTATATGCTTATGCGTTGGTTAATTTGTCAACTGTATGGACATTAGTCCAATTTTTGCAGAGATAGTTCCCGAGAGAGCCCGAACAAGTGTATATGCCTTGGACCGATCTTTTGAGTCTATACTATCATCTTTTGCTCCCTTTGCAGTGGGGATGTTGGCTCAGCGTGTTTATGGGTATAAGGGCGTTCCTGAAGGGTCTAGTGAGTCTCAAGAGATTTTAACAGATAGAGAGAATGCTGCATCATTGGCTAAGTCTCTTTACACAGCAATAGGAATTCCAATGGCTCTCTGCTGTTTAATCTACTCATTTCTTTATAGGACCTATCCAAGAGATAGGGAACGAGCTAAGATGGAGGCTTTGATAGAATCAGAGATGCAGCAAATGGAAGCAGATGGTTTAGCCATGGATAGAGAGATTGTGTCTGAAGAATTGTCTATTGGGGATTATGATGGTGATGGCGTTGATCTTGATGATGAAGAGAACATATTGCTCTACCGTCAGTTGACATTCTCCAACTTAGGTGAATAGTTAACTCGAAAGTCATTACAAATATTTAGCAGGTCTGCAGCCTAATGAGATTGCTTGGCCCAAGAGATACAAGTTTCAGGTGTTCTCAGTGATGGAGAATTTTTCAGAACTACATTTTGATCAAATTTTTAGCATGAACCAGACATGGACAGTAACAAAAGAATCCGTATACGTCTTCATAGTTTTATCTTCCACTTTGATGGAAGAATTTTCCTTTGTTATATGCGATTTAATTGTATCAACTTTAATACCTGGATAACAATGAAAGTAGATTGATTTATTTGTGTATAGTTTGAACTAGGATGACCTCGACAAGAAAATATTGAAGTGAATGCTCCGGAAATCAACTTAAAATTTTTGGGCTTCTTGTGTAGATTATATTTTGCTCCTTTATTCTCAAAGTGTACCTTTTCCTAGTGTACTTTCAGGGACCGACGAAAATGAGCAAAGACTCCAGGGAATAGATGGAATTACCTTGTAAACTAATACCCCGATGAGAAGGAAGAAAATAAATTCAATAAAGAAACAGAAAAATATTTCTGGAATTGGGAAGGCTTGGGTCGGAGATGGCTGATTTTGGAATTTTTTTTTTTTTTAAGGCAAGGTTCTACATCATAATCGTAAGATTATGTTACTATTCATTTGTCTTAACTATATTTACCATAGACCTAACCTATTTTAATTCTTTCTTCCAGGCTAATGGTTACTTACAGGCTCCGTTAGGTTTGTTGAATAGTGGAACATCAGACGCGGTTTATATTCAAAGAAAAGATTTAAAAAGATATATATATATATATATATATATATAACTGGATGTAAAATTTGGTCCAGTACATTAAGTTCTCCCGCGAGTAGGGGTGTAAATGGAATGGGCTGGGCTGGGCTTTGGCCATCCTGACCCAAGCCTACGTCAAAAAAAATTCAGCCTATTTTGCTTACTGGCTTATTAAAGGCTTTATTTGTAGGTCAAGCCCGGCCCATTTTCAAAAATAAGAAAGCCTGACATGGCCTACAGGCCTTGTAGGCCTCCCACTATATATACTAAGCAAAAAAAACAATTGTATAGAGCAAAGAAAGTTCCATTCATGCATGCACTAGGATTTCTCATAAGAAAAAAATGACAAACAAGAAAGAGTCAACATAATACCTCAGCTGTAGAATGTATATCATAGAGGAATAGAGTCAAAGAAATGAGAAAAATAAGAAAAATACAATTACTGGATGCTGAAATAAAGTCTACAAGAGAATGTCATTCATCTAAAAATCTTTAAACCACCATCAAGACAAGGGAAAGAAGAGTATTATTGAAAGATCTTCATCAGTAACATCATAATCCAGCAAGGTACCCATTGCTCCATGGTATTAAGCTGCAACAACATGTAAAATTTAGAGACATTAGACAAGTTTTCCTTTCATAAAATAAAATAGCACAAAAAATAAGAGATATTGGTATTTGGTACTTTGTGTCTTTGTCACATAAAATAAATATTATTTTATTATTTTATTTTAATAAATTAAATAGGCCAGCCTACAAGGCTGTAGGCCGGGCTTGACAAAATTGGCCTATGGCCTATTTATTAAAAATACTTTTTTATAAGCCTAAGCCTACTCTACTTTTCTGAAAGGCCAGGCCTGGGCTGGACTCAATGTAGGCTGGGTTGGGCCAGCCTGGCCCATTTACACCCCTACCCGCGAGAACACAATTATAGTAAAAATTATAACTATATTCTCCTGGGATAACACCATTATAATATTTAGTGCACTAAGTTCTCGCAGGAGAATTTAGTGCACTTGACCGTCTAGTGACTGAATTTTCATTTTTTTCATATATATATATATATATATATATATATATATATATATATATAATATAGTTCTTAACAAGAGAAAGAATATACATATACATATTAAAATAACAATTTTAAGAAGACATGGTGGTACCTTGGAAAAGAAGAAAGATTTTCCTTTCGGAACTCTCCGAAAACCCTTTAGAAAGATTGAAGAAATGAGATCAAGAACTTTTTTTCAATACTTAAAGAAATATTTTATTTCACAGAGAGGGGGAATAGTACAGACTCATTTTCAGAAGAATTCTTAAGCATACAACTCTTGATATCCTTTATATATATTCATTATTCATATTTATAGTCACACCCAATAACTACGTACTTGAAACATAGATTTCAAAGAATCTTCTTTACTAAGACTAGTACACATTATGGGCTCCATCGTTGCATCAGTTTTAAAATAGATTTTTTGAAAAATACAATACGACAAAACTAAATAATACACTTGGCATGAAGAGAAAGATTATACTTACTACCTATTTTTTTTATTACCTCTCAATATCATTTTTTCCATTCTCAAACTCGAACTCAAAATTCTTGATTAATGAAAATAAGTTTCTTGCCACTTGAACTGGCCAGTGATTATTGGTATAAAGTTAATTATTTATGTAAACTAATAAGAAATTGTTTATGAAATTCTTGGTCTTACACTTTACGAGTCATTAATTTTATTTGCATATATCAACTCTAATTCATTATTGATGTGCTTGAGATCATTATAAATATTAACTAAAATTGAGTATAAGACATATTATTCTTATACTGATATGATATGGTATAAGTTGATTAGACGACAGGACAGACCGACAGAAAGAACAGGAAACTCAACCATTAGCTGGGTTTTGTGGCCAAGATTTTCAAGAAAGGACAATTTCTTATGCGTGAATATCCAAACAGCCCACATCCCCTGTGGTTAGATCTTCAAGTTCCCAATCAGAAAGAAAGGTGTAGTAGCTCACTGATATTTACCTTGTACTCTACAATAAAGAACAAGTTACCTACCCACTATCAAAACTGATACAAACTTTCTATATCAAATTAAACATTTCTATGTTAATGCAATTTGCCATTCGAGAGGGATATATAATATTGGGCAGTAAAGGCTTGTGCCTATTAACAGTAACTTCAGTCACTAATTTATTGATGAAATCAACCTAGGGATCAACACAAGGCGGGTCTCATTCACCTACTTAATATCAGTGGTGTTAATCACTATGTGTTGGTCAAACTCGTGAACACTGGGACCCACAGTACTCCAAGAGTTCCTGTAAAAGGTTGCATAGAATCTGTCTAGTACAGTGGATTTTAAGGGAGCTTGTGGAGATTGAACTAAGTTCGCATTTCAGACTTCTTGCTTAGTAAACAAGTCTACCATGCTAAATCATCTTCTTCCAGTGTAGTGTAGCTGAAGTTTAGTTTGGTTGATTAAGAATAGGATCCTCTCCATAATCCTGAAACATGTCCGTGTAAAAATTCATGGCAATTGGTTGAAGGGTAACAAGCTCCTTCCACCAGTGGTCGTCCTGATTCATAATCCTAATTATCAAAATTCTGTTTCTTCAACTTCTTAGCTTCTCTTTTGCTTCAATTTTATATGGTTTAAGCTTTTCATATCCTATTTTCTGTCTCGTCACTGAACCATAAACTTGGATTATTGTGAGAAATCGCATCTGCTTAATCTGATCGTGTGAATTCCTAACCTATCAAGATCCTCGAGTTATTCATAGTTCTTCAAGAACTTTTTCAATGTTTATAACAAGATTTTCTGGGACTACTTTTTGTTTGGGCTATTTATGCTTAATTGTTAAGTTTGCTTGCTGCGTTATCCTATTTGAGTGAACTCTTGGAACCAATTTGTGTTGAATTTTATATCATTCTTACTCCCTTTGAGTGTTCTTGGCCTAAACCAACAAAAATATTTAGCAAACTTTTCATTTTAATGGAAAAGAATCTACTACTATTATATGCTAAAGAAAACATCGAATTTTTTACTCTTTTTTTGGAATTTAAAGTCTTAAATTATTCTTAGTACATTTATTTATTCATCACAAATTAGTAAAAATATAAATTTTAAACAATTCAGATCAAAATATAAATTATAAATAATTAAAATTTATTTCAGATCAGCACATCTTATGCGTTTTCCATTAGATGTCAATTTTTCTGTATGAGACAAGAAACTTTATCACTAAACAAAGATTATTGATTTAGACTTCTTAATGAATGCCCGTCTAGCTCAGTTGGTAGAGCGCAAGGCTCTTAACCTTGTGGTCGTGGGTTCGAGCCCCACGGTGGGCGTTTTGTTCTTTTCAATACGTTACAGTGCATGTGCTCCGGGAAATATTTTTGGGACTGACGCTTAGAACTCTGCTTATTGCCATCTTTTTTTGAGTAAATGTGTATTGTCACTTCTTGTGACGAGACTAATCCCTTGTGTAGATTGGAGTGACGAGAATTTCTCCACTGACCCCAAAGTGCAGCTCCTTTGATTCGAACTTTATATTCTTTAGACACACTTTGATTCGAACTTTATATTCTTTAGACACACGAGCCTGAATACTTGGAGCTCAGTCCACTACCGATTGAGCTACATCTTGGGGTTTGCGTATTGTCATTTTTGTCGCGTTATTTTTTATTTTTTGTAAATTTGTCGCCTTTTAAGGATTTTAAGATAACAAGTTGTAGGGACTTTGATCAAAGTAACACCTTTTGACTAATATTTTACTGGTATGCCACCTTACATTTCGAATTTTTCAAAATGTCACGTTTCAATCTCGCTACACCAACCAGCGATATTGTCAGATGACACGTGGCGGTCAGCCATGGTGATCCATTCCCGCTGGTATGACAAGCTAGAATGGCTTGTCAATCAACCAGTCTGCACACTTTGATTCGAACTTTATATTCTTTAGACACACGAGCCTGAATACTTGGAGCTCAGTCCACTACCGATTGAGCTACATCTTGGGGTTTGCGTATTGTCATTTTTGTCGCGTTATTTTTTGTTTTTTGTAAATTTGTCGCCTTTTAAGGATTTTAAGATAACAAGTTGTAGGGACTTTGATCAAAGTAACACCTTTTGACTAATATTTTACCGGTATGCCATCTTACATTTCGAATTTTTCAAAATGCCACGTTTCAATCCCGCTACACCAACCAGCGATATTGTCAGATGACACGTGGCGGTCAGCCATGGTGATCCATTCCCGCTGGTATGACAAGCTAGAATGGCTTGTCAATCAACCAGTCTGCACACTTTGAAAAGCAAGACACGTGTCACCCTCTCACCATTCGCGCCGGTCAGCCTAGCTATATTCGTTGTACTTTCTGAAAAGCAGGACACGTGTCACCCTCTCACTATTCGCGCTAGTCAACCAAGCTAGATTTGTTGTACTTTCAGACACGTGTCAGCACCCCCTTAATCGCGCTAGGCTGCCTAGCTGGTTTGGTGCGTACTTTCACGACACGTGTCAGCACCCCCTATAATAAAAAAAGTACATTTTTATCCT